CAAGTCACGGACATACATTGTTGTGTTGTTGCCATAGATATCTGCGCATGACACACTTCTCCTGTATTCCTCCCAATTCTTCCTCTCTGAAGCCTTTCTTTCGAGTGCCTTTGTGTCCCTTTCCTTGAGAAAGAGCCTCAAGAGAGACAGAGTCAGCATTGGGGACTCTTCTCTCTGAGCAAGGGACACTCTTGAGCTCCTCTTCTACCTGAACTGTTCTACCTGCAAGAAGAGAAGTGAGCTTTCCCCTCTCTTTGAGCCTCTGACGTGCTTCCTCTCCTGCTTCCCATCAGAAGCTTGCACAGGAGCATCCTTATGTGGTCCTCCTGCCAACCTGGGAAGGGGCTCATGTGCAGGATTGGGGAGGGGGATAGGGCCCTCCTCCCTCCTCCTTCTCACCTGGACGGCCACCTGGAAGCGCTCAGCAAAGGCCTGGAAGATGGCGCAGGAGTCGGGGAGGCTGAAGCCAAGGGTCTCCTCGCAGAGGAAGTCGGCCAGGGCGGCCTGTGCGCGGCGCATCCCCTCCCAGGAGGCCCAGGTTGCCCCCAGCTCCGCTTCGGCCGCCTCCAGGAAGGGCCCCAGGCGCCCCTCCCAGCCCAGGGCCCCCAGCCACCCCCGGGCCCCCCGCAGGCGTGCCCCTAGGCATCGCAGCTCCGCCAGCACCTCGCCCTCCACGATCCTGCAAAAAAGAGGGGGGGGAGAGGATGGGGGGCAGGCAGGGACAGCCCACCTGCCTCAGGGACCCTCAATACAAGTGGGAAGCCCCAGGTCAGGTGAGGGTCCCAGGGAGGTCTCTGGGGGTCAAGGCCCATCCCTCCACTCACCGCGAGGCCGGCCCCACGTGTGGCAGCTTGCTGGGAAAGCAGAGGAGGGCGGGCTCCTTCCTCTCAACCTCCTGTGGGGAGAAGTAGACATTTGGGGAGACCCCAACCCACTCCCCAATGCCCCCAGCACCTCACGCCTTGGTGGTCAAGCCCCCTCCTCGAGACTCACCAGGGCCATGAAGTGGAGAAGGTCCATGCCGGGCCTGTTGGCTTTGGTGTCCGTCAGGCGGAGCAGAGAAGGCACCCGGAAGCCCAGCGCAGACCCTGCGTAGCCCCCCTGAGGGAGGAGGAAGAGGAAGGGGAATCAGGGGAAGGGTCTGCCGCCCACAGCGTCCATTCCTCACACTGCCTCCTAGTATATAATGTTGCAAATGCCAAC